GGTTTACGAAAACAATTTTCAGTTGGCATCTGTTTCGGTAAAGTTCTGAAAAAGCAATCAGGATCATTATCTTCTTCAGAGATGTACTGTAAGAAGTTTCATTTTTCTTCTGTGTCAGTTTGCTTTAAAAATGTCAAGTTCGATTTATCAACAACCGACCAATGATGAATCCAAAATATTTGATAGCACCTTTCTTCAAGCCGCCTTTGTTTCATATTGTTAAACGTTATGAATGAGCTTGGGTCTAATTTAATATTAATATAAGAATAAGGCAATAATATATCTCCGTGGTCCAAAACACATTTTTCCGCGTTCTTTTCGGTTGTTGTTGACAGGGTGACTAGAAATCGCGTGAATAATAAAAAGAAACAAACGCATGGGGCTTTTCTACACAGCACCGTATTTGGATGAAAAATGTCTGGACTATTTTTTCGTGATTTACGAACAAATTTACAAAAAAAATTGTCATTAAATGTTGAGCAAACCTACAGGCTACAGACCTACGGGCACTTTAATGGTAATTAAAACCGATACTGCTGAAAAGAAAAAGGTTCGTGCTGCAAATGAACTTTTTCAATTTACCATCAGAGCCATAGTCTTCTTCCCGAGCTTTAAACGTTTTTTTATGATCGTAATGTTATAGCAAATATATTTTGTCGGTTTGTTTTTCCAAAAAATCTTTTTACACCAGTTGCTTTAAAATATCACTTATCAGCCTTTGCTTTCTTCACAACACAAGTTCTATTTATAATCCCTCTTTTGTCATTAATTTGTTCGTGACAAATCCTAACCCACAATAATTTCGAAAACGACTGACCCTTGGTGGAGGGTTTTAAAAAAATATGTTCCAAAACTGGGCCCAATATATTTAGCAGTATCGGTTTTAATTACCATTAAAGTGCCTGTAGGTCTGTAGCCTGTAGATTTGCTCAACATTTAATGACAATTTTTTTTGTAAATTTGTTCGTAAATCACGAAAAAATAGTCTAATTAAAAATATAACTTGCGTTCAATATCTAAAAAGTAAATAAACAGCATTTGTGCAAAAATCCTAATTTACATGCCTGCAGTGAAATTGACAGTGGTCATTTTCTTCAGTGCTAATTCTTCAAAATTAAGTTTACTGTGTATCAAAGTCCAAAAAATAAATAAAAAATCGTTTTGGAAATTTTCATTATTTTTATTTTTTTACACTCGACAAGAAAAGATACGAAAACAATTCAAAAGAGTTTTATTTTGAATGGCTTCTTCAAAGTAAATAACGAAAATTGCAAAAAGGTGAGTGACGTAAATTTGATTTAAATCTGTTCGTTAAGATACCCCCCCGTACTGGACTTCACAAGTTTAATCTAGTCAAAGCAAAATTAGCCCTTTACCATCGTAAATGACGTTGCCAAATATTGTAAACGTAATTTTTTTTTGTTAGAATTTAACAACCCATATCTTCGTAATTAAGCATTTCCGAACAAACATTTATATGAACTTGTTTTCTTGTTTGGATGACGAATCTCCAGCAGACCGTTAACCCATGTTTTTGAAAACACCCTGTATATAACTTTAACCACTATAAAAGTAGATTTATGCTTCAGATTGCAGCGTAAAAACGAACAGTATTTTTGTGAACAGGTAGGTTATCAAAACTTTCGCGGTGAAAACGATTCCCAGCCGAAATTCTCGTTAATCCACCTCTGGCACGTCATGGTCGCCTCGATTCCGTTCGGTGTGCAATCAAGGCGGCAAATGTTTACCGACGTCGTCAACTTTTTCGATAGATGTGACGTGTTTTGTTGCGCCATTATTATTGTTTTTGCTTTCAGGAATTGCATGTGGCACGAGCGTTTGGTGTCGGGGGGTTGTGTTGCATCAGTCGCTCTTATTTATTTTGCATGAATGATTTGTCAGCCGATGCGATTTTCGTTGTTTGAAGAGTAGGATTTTTTCCGATTTAACTTTAAAACTGACTGGTGTTTGTTTTAGTTGCCGGATTCGATGATCGGTCGCGCGAAGCGTGAAATATGTATAAAACAGCGCTATCGCGGAGTTGGATATTTTCATATTTGCCATTGTACAGTCTATCCCATTTTTTATTGTTTTACGGCGTATCTCCCTTATTAATATAGGCAGACTTTTTTATGAAGTAAAAGGTGTCACAAAAAGAAATGTCGTTGGTTACTATGTGGAATTTCCAGATATATATTTTCGGAACATATATGGAAATATTGGAAATATATGAAATATTAAAAAGAAATAAGAAAAAAGGTAATATGTTGATGAATTTATTCAGCATCCGAACAAACAGAAAAGTAGAACTAACTTCTTATTTATTTATGCTGAAGTTTTTATTGCTTAGAATAAAAGGATAGTTAAAAAAAACTTAGTGTTGACAAATATTTATATTTGTCAACACTAATATATATATATATATATATATATATATATATATATATATATATATATATATATATATATATATATATATATATATATATATATATATATATATATATATATATATATATATATATATATATATATATATATATATATATATATATATATATATATATATATATATTTTTTTTTTTTTTTTTTTTTTTTTTTTTCACGTATTGATTCACGGATGGAAAAATGTGATGACACTATATTCCGGGATATCATCCGTTCGCTTGTTGAACTCCGACTGGAATCCTGCAGACGTTCGCTCCGAAAACACTTCGAACACGAGCGCGAGCATTGAAGATGCCAAGTGAGATTTTGGCGAAACATCTGCAGGATTCCAGTCGGAGTTCAACAAGCGAACGGATGATATCCCGGATATATATATATATATATATATATATATATATATATATATATATATATATATATATATATATATATATATATATATATATATATATATATACAAAACAAGTTTTATCTTAATTTCTAAATTTTTGACACACTAGTCGAGCAAGAGGCATATCTTTATTAGCAACAACAACCAGCAATAAGATCTTCTTGCCAGTTTACTTCCTGGAAATCTTCAATAGTATCGGAAATAAAAAATTATCTATCGCCCTTTTCTATTTTCTTCATCGAGTTTTCATTATGGGATACATAGAGTAGCGGCCCTGTCATTAGTAAGTCCGTTTCTCTTTTTTGAATTAATATGGCTGAAGGAAGATGAAGAAAGGAAGGAAGGAAGATGAAGAACAGAGTCCTTTCCACCAGGAGACTGCCTTACTTTCAAATGACTTACCATTTCTATTCCATCTCTTATTTCTCGCTCCTTTATAATTTTTGATATATTAAATATGCATTCTATAGGAGCATAAAGAATGCGCTTGAATGGGCAAATTTTTCTCTTTCATCACCAAACTCCAAAAATTCGGAGTTCTTTGAAGTCAAGTGTTCTGAAGTACCCTACAAAATGCTTTTATAGCAAAGTTTTTATAATATTGTTAATTTGAGCTCAAAATACCATTTAATATCCACTGATTAACTTTTTTATCAATCATTTGTGCTGCTTCTTGGCTAAACTGAGCCTAGTGTTGTATACACTTTTTAAACTGGTCAAAACTGAAAACCAGTAAGTTTTTATATATTCGGCTCTACATTTTTGTTCGTTAAAATTCATATAGAATTTTTATCTTGATCTCTTTTGCAATATCTGTAACTTTAATGATTAGAGATATACTTTAAGCAAAATCATTAAATAACAAATTGAGACCATAAGCTGAAAGTAATCTTAAGAATCTATTTGGTTCAGATTTTTTAATCATCTTTCAAATTTCTTAAGCCATATATTGTGCAGTATGTCTTTGCAACAAAGTTTCGATAGAAGGTTCCAGCAACCGTGATGGTGTGGTAATTATACAATTTATTACTCTTTGGTATAGAACGTTGTTCCAGCCGTCGCTATGTAGACCGAGAATTTCACTTTCATTGATTGTAGTTTCGAAATTTTGCTTTACTCGATTGAGCGTTGCATGCAAATTTGTGTTAGACAGTTTATGTATCTACTTACTGGTACAAAAACTTGAAGAGAGCATCTTGAAGAACTGGACAACGGACAGTGGCTGGCGTATATTGCACGAGCTAGTAAAAAAATATATGCTTAGTGTTTGCTTTTCTCTGCTTTTCTTACTTTTTCTATAGGTCTTTCTTTCTTAGAGACTCTTCAATTGTATAAGTTTGTATTAAGAAATTTAAATAAAAGCTTCTGCTTTATTTTTATCGACACCACCCAAAAAATAACCTACTATACTTTGACGGTTGTAGTGGTGGTATATATGTAATAGGCCATTTTCATGTTTTTTAAGGCAGAATTAAACGTCAGAGTTACGTTTTAGAAATGATTATTAATAAACATGTTGTCCCGATCATGCTAGCTTTCGAAAGGACACGCTATATTTTTATATTTATACTTGTGCATATATTCAACTCCCCGCATAGAACCTGTTAGGGTATGAGATATCCGTAGCATACGAAATACGTATGAAAAAGGGATATAAAATATTCCTTTTGCTTCATGTTTCCCCTTTCACATGTATTCGATTTACACTATTTACATAATTCTACCTCGAAACGTGAAATGTCATTCCTACTGTAGTCTAGCAAACGCAAATTGATTGATATTCGTTTTAACACTTACAGCAACTTGGTATTTTTTATACAAAAACTACTTTTCGATATAAAAAAACGACGTAAAAATTGGTATTGAAACTGATTGAAACTTCAATTTCCCTCATATGAGAATTTTTTTGAGATCTTAATTGTTTAACCGAAAGCCCCATTGTCAATTGACAAATAAACCGAAAATAGATATCCATTGAATGGTTTTATTTTTTTCAAATTTTCTGACTAACTGTGTCACATGGTGGAAAATAGTCAATACACCGGCCTTAAGAAGAAAACCAAAATTACCCCAGTAGAAGGAAACTGCAATAATATTGTGGTCGTATTACTCTCCACTAGGTGTCGCTTAAATTGCCAATTTCTATTTCCCAAACATTGAATCGAAACGTCCACTGAAATCCAACCTCAAGTACCAATAATTTATGTTATTGAAACTATAAATGATAGGGCGAAGTTTTAACAGAAGTTTAGCTCGCGCGCCAGCTGCTGAAATCACCTTGTGAACTATAAGCTGTACAAATAATGCATCGAGTTCGAGCTGGCTAACTGATGGCAGTAACAAGGGCAGAGCACTGGTGCAGAGCTAGTTCAAACAGTTGTAAAAATTTTGCGTTTACCGTCCAACAATTTAGTTCACTTTGATTGATTTAAGGTTTAAATGGTAATAGTTTAAAATACATAGGTATTAAATACAGGTGGCAATGTATAACTCTTGGAAGTGAAATCATGGAAGAACATAATTCAAGAATAGGCGTCTCAGCGATTCAGCACCAGTACAATTTCAAATGCGAATGCGGAAAAAATTTTACTTATAAAAAGCATTTCGATGCACACAGACGAAAAATTCATAATGATCCCAAGAGTTACTTACTAAAAGATATATATCGTAATAAATTTTGCCCTTTATGTGATTTTTCTGCAAAACTTCGTAATGAGATGATAAAGCATTATGAAGTTATTCACAAAATTTCATTTGTGGAGGAAAAATACACATTTGCAAGCCAACCTGAGTTCTTACTGTGGAAAAGAAAAATAGAATCGGAAACAAGGTCAAAGTATATTAATAAAGGAACCCAGGTATGTCCAAATCGTAAGGTTACAAGCTTTTACTGCCATCGTTCTGGCCATTATGTCACCAAAGGTAAAGGTTTAAGGAGTTTAAAGAGGAAGGGGAGCAATAAAATAAATGGTTTCTGCCCTGCAAGAATAGTGCAGAAATGTTTCAATGATAACAATGGCACATGTGTCATTTATTTTTATAGCACCCATGTAGGACATCAAAATGAATTAAAGTATCTAACATTCACCCATGCTGAGAAAGAGGAAGTAGCCAAAAAAATTGCTCTAAAAATACCATTTGATGATATTTTAGATCAAGTTCGCGACTCAATCCATAACTCCTCTGTGGGAAGGATACACCTTTTAACCAGGAAAGATTTGCATAATATTCAGAGCGCGTACAATTTACAGTCAAAGGCAGTTAGACATAAGGATGATATCACAAGTACTAGACCTAGGGAAATGGAGAAGCAGGGTATGTTTGATTTTGCAAAGCCCCCTTCACCTATACAGAAATGCAAATTGTAATTTTTCTGAATGACTTCCTAATAAACAAATTTCTAATGACCTAAAATATATATATACTAAAACTTGTGTTTCTAAGTTTGGAATTAGGCAAAATTGGTATTCAAATAGTAGCATTACTATGGTAGTGCAACTATAGACAAGAGAATACAAGATTTATCCATTGTATTGTTTGGTGAATAAAAAGTAGTTTCACAGAGCAGTAAATCAAAATTACTCAAAATACTTTTGTTCCTGTTCAATTCACTCTTGGATTTAGTAAAGCTAGAACACAAATTTGGGTATAATTATAAATGCCTGTTATGATATTTATTCTCTTTTCAGATCATAGTGAAGGGAACATTGATTCTTTAGAAATAGTTAATTCAAACAGTGAATCAGAGATTTGTGAATTGAGCAAATATAAACATTTATATCAAGATCTCAATACACGGAAAGAAAAACTTAAGAATAGCATACTTGCAACGTTAAGCACAATTTCAAGTGTGGAAGAAGTAGAAGCAGTAGAAGAGATTATTGCTCAACTTGGTCCTTGCTTAGCTGTTATCAGAGATAAACATTTAAAATCCCTTCAAAGGCAACAAAATTTGGTTGGACATTGTACTTCAACAGAAACTGAAAAATAAATGAAAATTTAGTCAAATTAAAATTTCAAAAAAGTGTTGAATATTATATTCATTAACATAACATAAAGTTGACAGCGGTTAAAGAGTTACACAGAATACACAATAACATATGCTGTATAGTAGTGCTTTGAATAATTCATTGAAGCATGAAACCCCAAAAAGTGTTATATGTATATTTTGATTTTGCATTGACAGCTTTCATTGTCGAAATATATCGAATATAAAAATAATTCGATTCGTTTTAATTTGAATTATCCATAGGGGTAACTTAATCGTATGGCTATATAAGCGAGTGCCCTTTGTCGTTTTGCCCATTGAATAAACACTTTCGTATTTGGTAAAACGTGAATACATGACAATTTATAAAGATAAAGCCTCGAGAAGAAAATAACAAATATTTTTGAAGATCTCCCAATATCAATACAGTGCATGCCAATTTGTCGACGTGTGTTTGCATTTCTTTTTACACGCGAAAAACACTAAATAAAGCTAAAGAGTAAGAAGAGCATATTAATAATTGAGAAAAAAAATGAAACCTGCAATTTGTACTTATATTTTGCATATCGGCGTTTTTAACTGTGAAGTTCTTTGCCTTCAGCGGATGTCGGTAATTTCAAATTGAAAAGCATAAAACATTCTAAATTTCTTGAATTTTCGAATAATTCACGGGTGACGTCCCAATGAGCGAATACCCTGGGTAAAATTGCCCAGTTTATAAATGGGATATGATGGCAGAAGATTTGAGGTTATGTCATGTTATCAAATTTGCAGAAGCGAAGTGTTAGTTTGATGTAAATAATACCATTAAAAAACGATGTCTGTGGTAATTGAAACCACTTTGGGTGACTTAACTGTAGATCTTTTTCTAAATGAACGCCCTAGGGCCTGTTTAAATTTTCTAAAATTATGCAGTATTAAATACTATAATTATAATTTGTTCCATACGATCAGTAGAGGCTTTATCGCTCAGTCTGGTGATCCGACAGGAAGCCGTACTGGTGGAGAATCAATATTTGGTATTTTGAATGGCCCATCAAAACGATATTTTGAAGCGGAAAATGAACCAAGAATTAAGCACACTAAACTCGGCTTAATTTCATTTGTGGGAGCTGAAGACAATATGATTGGATCTCAATTTTTTATTACTTTAGGTGAGAACTTGGCGTACTTGGACGATAAACATTGTGTGTTTGGTGAAATAGTGGAAGGATTTGATGTTTTGGAAATTCTGAATGAAGTTATCTGTGATAATGATGACAGGCCCTATCAAGATGTTCGTATCACACATACTGTTGTTTTGGATGATCCATATCCCAATCCTAAAGGATTACTTGTTCCCTCCAGGTCACCATCACCTAGTGCAGAGCGGCTACAAGGTGGAAGAATTGCTCCAGATGAAGAAATTGATGAAATATCAGGCAAGACAGCCAAAGAAATTGCCGAGATGCAAGCAGAAAGAGAAGCTAAAGCTAGAGCTACTATCTTAGAAATGGTTGGTGATATCCCAGATGCAGAAATAGCTCCACCAGAAAATGTGTTATTTGTGTGTAAGTTAAATCCTGTCACAACTGATGACGATTTAGAAATCATATTCAGTCGTTTTGGCAAAATTAAATCATGTGAAGTTATTAGGGATAAGAAAACAGGTGATTCCTTGCAGTATGCATTTATTGAATTTGAAAATCAGAAAGCATGTGAAGATGCATACTTCAAAATGGATAATGTTCTTATTGATGACAGAAGAATCCATGTGGATTTCAGCCAAAGTGTATCTAAAGTTAAGTGGTTGGGAAAGGGACGTGTTTCATATTATGATGATACAGGAAAAAAACAAACTAATGGCAATCAAGATATAGGAAAAGGAAACTATAGAGTTAAGAGTGGAAGAAGATCTAGATCACCTAAAGACAATAGAAGGAAGTCTCCACAGAGATTGCGATCTCCCAGGAGGAGATCAAAGTCTCCCAGGAGGAGATCAAAGTCTCCTAGGAGGAGGTCAAGGTCTCCCTGGAAACGTTCAAGGTCTCCTCATTTACAATCACTTAAGAAATCTGAGAGGTCTTTGAGAAAATCGAGATCCCCTAAAATGAGAACACCTGACACTGCCAGATCCAGATCTGACAAAAAGGACAAGTCCCAAAATCATAAAGACAGGGAACATAAATATCACATGGAAGACAAGAAAAGGGACCGACAAGAAAGGAAACACAAAGAATTTAGGTCTAAAATAGTGAATAGAGAAACACAAAAAAGAAGTGAAAAAAAACATCTTGTGTCAGATAGTGATAGTGAGTTAGATAGTAAATCCTACAAAAAAAGGCACAAAACCAAAAAATCAAAGGACAAGAAAAAACACAGGTCCTCAAGCAGTAGTTCATGTTGAGGCAATAATTTGTTGATTTTTGAAAAATGGTGTTTTATTTCTGAATAAAAAACACTTGTTTAAAATGAATTTGTTTATTGTTTGAGATATCCTTCGTTGTAAGTATTTTGTTTTTTTATGTGATACCTTTTCATTATTTTTTACTACATTTTTCACTAAAATAAAATAAATCCTTATTATTAATTCAAGATTTAAAAAATGAAACTATAAGACCTCACTGAAGTTTAAAAAAAAATATAAATAATATGTATTTATTTATTTAATCAAATCAGTGAAATAATATTGGTGAAAAAAAACTTAGACCTAAAATGAGCTTTCCATATAAAAATAGAAATAATATACAGGGCGTCCCATTTAAGATAGGATATAAACCAGTAATAACTAGGTTATTTCGGGGATACCTAGTGTTTTTCAAGGAACTACTATGATTTTCTTTCCATTTTTTCATTTCATTTTCTTCTCATTGACGCTACACACCTTATGCTAGTGCCGCAAATTTTATTGTAAACAAATTAATTTGTTTTTAAAGACCTGTAGCCATCTAGAGAACGAAACATTTTGGAGAGTTTTTAGACCCATTTTGCTTTCTCTGGTTAAAGAACCTCAGCATACTTTGATGCGATTGGAAATCACCGTGAGCAAGTTTCAGAAAAATTCTGCGAGTTTATGTTATTAATATCCACCAACGAATTGATAAAAAGTGAAATTAAAAGCGGCTGGAAAGGTCCGGGGTCGGGGGGTGGGAAACGGGCCACGTAGCAAAAGTCCGCATCCCGAGAATGCGTAGTAGGCGAGCTGAAAGGTATGAAAATTCCCCGCCCGTTTCCCGAGATTTTCAGTCGCTTTCAGCGTTTCCAACTAGTCAACCACGATGGAGTTCCGCCTCGACGTATTTTCACTTTTGATTGCCTCTCTTGTTGCTTCAACTGTTGCTATCCCGTCGTCGCTTATGGACGAGATCAAATCCCGTGACGTCAAAAATAATAAAGGTATTATTGTAATATTTCTTATTTTCTAGCGAGTTAGGTACCTACAGGATCAATTTTTCTTTTGCTAAAAAAAGCAGCAATATGGTTTCACCATATTGTATATGTCTAATAATTTAATTGCTAAAATATGATGAAATGAAAAACTCATTATTTATATCATAAGTAGGTACGCTGAGTGACAATAATCTGAGAAAAATTCAAGATTTTGTGTTGCACTTTATTTTTTTTATTTTTGATTACAAAAATCTTTATATGTATATATTTTTTAAAATGTATAGTACCTAATATGTAAGCACGTTAAGGTATAACCATTATTGGTTAATTAAATGGTAATGTAAATTGCAACAGAATAAAAAATATCATGAAAATCCCAACGAAATTTTGTGAATATGTATTTGTTTGTACTTAATTTTTTTGGTGCCATTTTAGTATGCGATGTAGTCGATATTATTTACCATTAGTTTTGGTTAGTTTTTATTTGGTTATGGTATACCTATACTTTGCTTCCTAACGGTTTTTCAATAATTATAACCGAAATTAATTCCTGGCTTTTCTATTAAATAAGGTTCACTTACTTACCAAAAATAATCCAAAACCAATTGAAACTAACCAACCGATTTAGTATATTATCTTGCAGTTTTAAGACGCGTGGTTAGCTAAATTATTTTGTTGGTTATTATTTTATCCAACTAAATTGCACAAGAATGGAAAATATCTCGAAAACCCTAAGCAATTTTCTTTAAAGCCCTCTATCTCTAGGGGACATTGAGAATACTAAAGAAAGTAGAAGACGCAATATAAGAAAATAGTAATAGACGATCTAAGATACCATGTGGAGATTTGTACAATTTGTTACCATACTTTTTACGCTTTATATTGAATAAACTGGAACTTAGTATTGTAGATAATATAGCGAAGGGATATGAAAAAACCCATTCTATGCATAGATATAAATAACGTAAAGTTTGATAACTGTACTAAATTTCATTTAATTTTCTTTGCCGATTTAGAAAATACAGATTTGCAAAAACCATCTTAACGTGATCTTCAATGCCCTTGATTTAGGGCGAAGATTTCGTTGTAAGACTCAAATATTGGACTACAGTTTGCCTTTAATTATTTCACGATACATTTTCATTATTTTCGTTCTGAATATTGGTTGTTTTATATTGGTTTAAACGTTATTGATGTTAAATTGTTTTACTTTAACTGTGACTAATTCTTGAAGTCCCGAACAAGTCTAAAACCTTTTCTTATTATTTGTACTATTTTAACTTTCGTGTTCACATTTTAAAGTTTATAGCTTACGGATTTCAGTCCGTGAATTTCTACTCTATTGTTTTCTTTCGCGTAAATTCATAACCTGCTTTGAAGCTGGCACGTGAAAATGTGTGATTATTCATAAATATTTATAGCTCGCTAAACAAACACACATATGTCGGGAAAGCCGGATTTTCTACTTGATATCACCCTTGTCATACCTAATGGGATAGATTAAAAAGATTATCGATAGTGCCAAATATTAATACGTGTTCACCAAACCGGCAATTAAACAATGTTTATCAAAGTCTCAACAGGGTAACCCAATTTAGACACTCTTGGCGCGATATACATATATTATGCAATTTTTTTTGTAAAATGAGAGTTTCCTTTAAGTTTTACTATTCCATACCAATGTGCTGTCGTTTTTTATTATTATTTTTACTTAATTCATCACACAGTTATAAACATTTTAAATTCAAATACAAATTAAACAATGCCAACGTATAGGGTCGACCCTATACGTTGGAACACCCCCATATCTCCGAAACTATAGGGGATTGAGCCAAAAGTTAAACACAAAAATTAATTGAGATATTACAAACCTTAATTTATTTAAATTTTATATATACAGGGTATTTCAGTTTTCGTGAGCCAATATCAACTTTCTTATTTTAAATGGAGCACGTAGTATATTACTTCATTTTTGAATTCTGTACAAAATTCTATACATATTTTGTGTATAATATCTGTCTAACCGTTTTAGACATTTTAAATTTTTTATGCGAAAAATAACGTTTGCAAGACGTAAAATATCTGCCAGTTTCTTCATTCGAAAATGTTTATTGTTTCACTTGAGTAAGGGTTGTTGTTGACAAAGGACTCGAATAATAGATGTCATAAGAAATTTCAATATATATTAATACAGGGTACGCGAGAAATAAAATTTAAAATTAAATTAATAAAACTGTCAAAAAACTTTTTTTTTAATAGAAACTACATATATTTATAATCTTGGCATAGTTAGCATTTAGGCAATTTTGTATAATGTTGTATATGCCTAATATTTTTACTTTTTTCAATATTTCTTTTTAACCACAAATAATATGCTGTTGCCATATAGGTTCAGTTAGTGTAAGTGGCTATGACGGTGTTTCGACAAATAAAGTGCTGCCACTATATTTACCATTTCATAGTTGACCACAATCTTGCTGATGCCCTTATGAAGATCCAAATGTATGTATGCATTATTTATACAGTATAAGACCAAGGATACGCGATAACGTTGGTGAATATTTTATTCACGAACGATCAATAAAAAACTAATAGCTTACAAAGGATAATAATTTTTGTAACAGTAGTTCAATATATCCCCCACTTTGGGCAATCCAAGTAGTATAGCGGGTATCTAAATAATGGCATTTCTAACAGATTCAGTCCCATTTAAATATTGTGTTTGTAAACTAAATTTTTAAGTGTACCATATAGAAAAAAATCTAGGGAGTTAAGTCGGGACTTCTTGGACGCCAAGCGTAAGTACCATTCTCCCCAATCCATTCTCTTTAGTGCGCATTTAAATGGGTACTTATTTCTTGACTGCTGTGATAAGGAGTGCCATCCTGCTGCCAAATTAAATTTCGCTGTAATCAATCGTAATCAACAACAAAACCCGCTTCCAAGGAGGCGGCGTTCTAGCCGTCAAAGCCACCTTACGCCAACTGAAGTTGTACGGCAACAGCATATTATTTGTGATAGACAAATGTTTAAAAACAAATATTTCAAAAAGTAAAAATATTAGGCATATACAGCATTATATAAAATTAAAAAAAAAGTTTTTTCTCATATTTAATCTTAATTTTCGGGTACCCTGTATTAAATGTATTGAAATTTCTCATGAAATTCGTCATTCGAGTCCTTTGTCTACAACAAAACTTACTCAAGTGCAACAATAAACGCTTCCGAATAAAGAAATTGGCAGATATTTTACGTCTTGCAAACGTAATTTTTGTAAAAAAATAAAAAAATGTCAAAAACAGTTAAACTTAGACACAAAAATTTCTAAAATTTTGTGTGGAATTCAAAAATGAATATTATAAGACGAAAACATATTTAATAAAGTATGATAAGCGCCGTTTTAGCCACGAGTTTCGTTTCATATATGTGGAGCGCATTGTAATGAACATTTCCATCGTTTCAGGTACTTTAGTCACGGGTTGGGAGCGATCAGATGTCTTCGGTAGATCACATATGCTGCTTTTTTTGTAAATGTGATGGTAGTAGACAAAAATATAGTATGCAAAACGATTATAAACTTCTTCAGACACTCACGTTCATGCCTAGATGAACCCGTGTGTAAAGTCTCGATTATAAAACTTGTTGCCTAATACCATATTATAGGCTTAAAACGTCAAAAATAGATTTTATATTTTGGCTACTATTATTCTACCTACTTGTACGTGCTAATTGGATAATCATCAGTGATCAATTCTAAATAAAAATTAGCCCCCTACTTAACTTTCAAGGAAACTTCATTGTTAGAACATTATTTTACTTGGCTGAAAAAGTAATATCTGCATTGTCCTGATAACGAACAATCTTTAACGGTGATTCTTAACATACAGGGATGCAATTAAATTTTCTTGAAGATTTTGAGAGGTTTAATTCTTTGTATCGTGTAATTAACTGTTAGATAATAGTATATTATGCAACAAGTACGGTAAACGTGTTGCATCGCAGGGGTACATTTTCGCAAAACAACACGAATAGATTCACCGACATAACCGGCAGACGAACGTTGCAATTCAAGGCGTGCGAAATATATCCGAAAACATCCAATTGCTCCCAAACCCGTGCGGTAAAATCCCGTAAATGTCCGAAGTGTCTCAGAACCGTGGTAAATGAAACTGAAGTGTTAAAGTGACGCTTCCCGCACGCTAGATCGGTGTGTAATTAGGCATTTTATAGACCGCAGTAGAAAAAATATAAAATATGCAGTAGTTTATTTGAAAAACTAAAATTGAGATACTCAAAAGTGTCGAGAAAATGGGAGACCCCGTACATGATCATCGGTTACTAAGCTTGTGACACCGCAGAAAAACCAGCAAGCCTTACATTTTTACTGGTTGGGAACAGTCGCCTAAGGTCTGGTCTAAAATCTTGTCCTTTCGGCCATGCCGAACGAACAGGGGTTAACTTTGTCGTCCAGGGTTGCGTATAATCCTGCAAAATCGATAAGAGAACTTGTTGCTGTTGGTTTTTACTTTCCCCCAACCCCATTCAATTAAGAGGGACAAAATGGTAAACAGTGTGTTTTCTATTAAAGGGAGACTAACTTAATTAACTTTTTCTGGTGGTCATCCGGAAAAAAAAAACGCCGATGATCATCGGTTTGGATTTCTGCTCGATGCAATCCAATCGGGATAATATTTGGTTTAAGGGAGTAGATTTAATGTAAATTCAATTTAATTTGGTTCCAGTTAAACGGGCACAATCATCCGAGCAAAGCGCGGAAGACAACTCAAACAACCTGGACTATTATTTGAAGCCGACTGCCATTAAACGAGGTAAGGCTATCAAAAACCTAATTTAATCATGTTAATTTGGTTGGTTTACTTATGTTAACACATTTAATTGAAATGGTTTGCGGACGCTGACATTGTTTTGGTTAACGAAGCTCCTGTTCCAAGATATAACTACTAGATCCATCCCTGAGCTTTATTGCCTGTGTTCCATTATAAAAAAAAATTGTTAAGTAGCATATTATTACTTCAAAAAGCAACTGTAAATCGACAAATATACAACCTGTCTTTCGATTTTCATCTAAAATGGCTCCAAGTTTAACATTCCTTTAAAAATAATCCCACGCGAGCAGTTACTGTCGCGAGTACTGTAATATAATTCTCTACTTTCGTTTGTTCTATTCACACAAGATAATCCACGTTCCTCAGGTAACAATATATAAAGTAATTAACAAAAAGACCTGTTTAACGCTACTAAATTAAACTTCCTACATCTATTGCGGCGCTTTTGAACTTTAGCCTTGCTGTTCCGTTCATTAAAAACAATAAATCTCCTGTATTTCCTTTTGGTCATCAAATTGTCTCTCGGAACTTCGAAAATCGTTTCTAAATTACTTCGGGTCCTTTTCACCTTCTTATCGGTGTAATATTTGATAAGATCGTCAGTTGCGAGCATCAATTTTGAAGACGTCGGCGGTTCACCAAATTGGTTCTTTTCATCTAAAATTTAATATGCGAATCAGCATTAACCAGTTCAGTTGACAAAAAAACAAAATTATGCTGATTCTGAACCAGCGAACTGGATCTGAACTGAATAATAGCAAAGTAATATAGCCATCTTTAAACTAATTTTTTGTGACACATTTTGGCTATTTTTGGCCGCCACAATCTTGTCGTACGTTAATACTTCCAGGTTAGTAGTAACTAACAACAATTTTTAAAAATTGTAAAGTCTTGTGATGCGTATGGTTGCAGTTGTAGTGTTAATGGCATAATATTTATATAAACATATCAGTCATCAGTCAGAGTCAGTCATATTGATAATCTATATTTTCGGCTATAATTTAGAGTAACGAGTAAAGAGTAACTCATTATTTTGGTATTTTTTATAATTTATTTTTGGTTAGCTTAAAATTTAATTTTTTTTTAAATTGTTGCCTTTTTTATGAAATAAAAAAATACTTTAAAAATATACACGTAAATGCGTGATTATTTATTTTAATCAATACTCCTGAAATATTTTTGAACTAATATTTAAAATCCCTTATATAAATATATCAATTTTTAAGCGCTTTTATCGGGAGTTTTAAAGAAGTTTCATTTTTAACAAACATTTAAGGGCAATATTACACATTAATAGTAATGTTTTACTATTGAGAAATTTGCCTCATTTTTTTCTTTTAAAATTTAGACCAACTGACGGTACTGAGCGGAGAAACATCAATCAAAATTTTGAATTTTTTAGGAATTTTCTATTGAAGTTGCCACTATTGCGGGCGCTTTCGTTGAGTGAGCACAATTCGGTCATATAGTTAAAATTACAATAATGTAATGACACCTTGATTTTTATTAATATGATCTTCCGACAAGTTAAAAATGTTCAAGCAATAAAAGATAAAGGTTCAAAATAACGGAAAATACAATATTTGCATTATTTTGTTTGAATAATACGATTTTAAATCAAAATTGTAAATATCTATCTGTGTTGCTTTAATAGTATATTATGCAAGAAGTGCGGTAAACAGCATTTGACTCACGAGAAAAGTTTACCAAATGTGTTGCATACTATACTTTTTCTAAGACCGTTAAGTTTTTGGGTACATTTTCGCAAAACAACACGAGTACATTCACTTACATGACCGTCAGAATTAAGAAACCTGTGCGGTAAAATCTCGGAAACGTCCGAAGTGGCTCGGTTCCGTGGGAAACCAAACTGGTGGTAAAGTGACGCTTACCGCACGCTAGATCGGTGTGTAATTAGTCATTTTACAGATGGAAGTAGAAAAAAGTTTTTTTTTCTATATTTTCTATAAAATACGTGTGATAAAGCTTTACTTAAAATTTGAAACACTTGTACGTGCATATCTTTTTTTTGAAAGCGCAATGCTATTGTTTGCAAAATAATTATTAGCCCATAACGAAACCCATCAAAAACTTGTCTAATTTTGATTATTGAAATAATACAGATTAAAGGTTTAGTAAAGCAATCACGATCTTTATTTGACTATTTCACATTTATCATAGAATAAATAAAACTTTATTTTTTCGTAAAAATGAAGATGGAGCAAGATTTGATGTACTCTCGAAATGGGGTTCTACAAGAAATAATCATAACAAATAAATAAATAAAAAATTGACAAAATTCGAGAAGCAAATGAATGCTGGTATGGTCTGTTCATAGCTATAAGCATATGGCATAGTAAGTCTATTCATAGATATAAGAACGTGACAATTGCTTTTCAATGCGATTATCCAAGGGTGGTCATTAACATACAATGCAACAAGATTATTATCTAAAGTTTCGGAATTTAAATTCAGGTAAAATTGTGGTCCCTAATAGAAAATAATTTTATACCTACCTGTGTTTAATATTTCCTGGTTTGGTATACTACTTAGTTTAAGTTTATTAGTAATCATTCTTATTTCGTGTGTAATACAGCTGTGTTGAATCGTGTGCGAATTATGCAATATATGTGTGCAATATGTGTGTGTATCTCAGGAGATGCTCCCGCCCAAATGTAGAAAACACTATTCTATTGAGATTAAGGAAGTTATAAACAATGTTTAGTTGACTCCCATTGAACGTGGTACCAGCAAGCAAGCATCTTTAGAAGAAACGGCCACATTGACGAAAATTCCAACATCACCTCTATGGAAAATTGTGAATAATCCCATTTCAGCGAGGAAAAAAAGAAGCGATGCTGACATTTTCTCGAGTGTAGATGAAAGTGATCAAGATATAATACGGCGTAAAATTTACCAGTTATACAAGGAACAAAGCTTGCCTACATTCGATATCTTAATTAGGAGGCTTGAAAAACACATGGATTTTCAATTTAAAAAACTTGACGAAAGGCAAGTTTTAATGGAATCTTTTAGAATTCGGAAATGGCGACTGGAATATCTAGAAAAAAATAGAATTTACAGAGAACAACAAAGACCAATTATTTACTTGGATGAAACCTGGTTCGACACTTATGATACCCCGGAAAAGGGTCGGGTTAACTCAACTTATAAATGTAAAACAAACGTGCCATGAAAAAGAGGTAAAGGAATAACTATTTTGCATGCTGGTCCTAAAGATGGTTGGATTCCAAATGGACTTTCTCTGTCTGCGAAAAGATTATTCTCTGGATTACCCTGAAGACACCACCGCTGATTTATTTGAAAGTTGGTTTAAAAAGAAACTAGTTCCTAACATTCCTCTTAATAGCGTTTAAAGTTATCACAGTAGATAGTTGACTAGAACCCCTTCCTCATGTGACACAAAAGCAACAATCTAAAACTACATGAATAATAATAACGACATTTATTTTGATGAAGATTATATCAAAAAGCAATTAATTGACGTTCTACAAAGCTTGAAAATACAAAAGGAATGCGTCTGTGATAATTTCTTACCGCTGTATATTAATCCCATTGAACATATTTGGCACCAACTGAAACTTGCCATTTGTCGTAACAATGTTTTTCCCCGTGTTAACTCCAATGTCCTCAAACTTATAGAAACCGAAGTTTTTAACATCCCTCCACAAAGTTCGACAAGTTCTGTTAAACATATAAAAAAAGCAGAACAATCCATATTGCAAATAATATAGAATACAAATAATAATTAAAACAGGCGAGGATAGCGATAGTGATACTGATATAATATGTGAATAATTTTAAGTAATTTAAGTAGGTAATAAAAATAATTTGTGATGTTATTTAAGATTTAAACATCAATACATACATAAATAAATATTGTTTAGTATCTTTCCTAACAAAACCCCAAATAATTAAATTCTAAACAAAGTACGGACCTGTTCGGCCATATTTCATTTTTACAGCTTGCCCGGGTCTTTCCTTAATTCGCATCAGTTAGTCACTTTCTTATATCTATGAACAGACTTTACCTTCAGTGATTGCATATCTGTCGATTTCATCTGCAGAAGCATCATCCTCGTCGGGACTCTGTTCTGCAATAAATCCGGTGTTCAAATCACGTTTGTACCATCCAGATAGTCGTCTCCTGGAATTTGTTTTTGCTGTCGAACTAGTTTGTCCTCCAATAAATGTGGTATGTAAGAGGTCTTGTTCTACGTTTTTACACGACCTGGGACCATAATGTCTAAGACAAATTGAGGTTGTTAATTGCAAATGAGGTTTTAGGTACATTATATTCTGTTACACTTTTTCAACAATCTTGAAAAGCTCAAAAGGTGCGCCATTAAAAAGCTCGCTCGCATTGAGCACTTTACCTTTTCAGTTTACCCGACTGTTCATTGTAGGTAATTTCCGAAAGTTGCGTCGATTTCCTCGACCTGAGATTATTTTTTATGCAATCTAGTTCCATAGATCCTGGGAATCGGATATGGATTATATTGTTTTTACCATAATAAAATTGTACCGGAATGCTCGTCAAAATGACAAATCAGTTTTATGAATGTCAAATTTACGATATGCAAATCTACCAGAAATCAGCAACGTGTACTTTTGAGCAACAGATTAGACGTTGAAGGCTGACAAGAATTGAAAAATTCATAAATGTAAACCATTATAAAGCAACACACAAACAGGATTAAAACACGATTAATATAATAAAAGTTGCTGAAAGGGCCCCTCAGTGTTCTTATGCAAAATGGTTTTAGTGCAGTTTTCGAGATATCGCACCTTAGTTTGGAACGATACTCTATATCTTAAAAACGCAAGATTTTCTAAAAACCGATACAGTTTTATATATCGACAACCGGTGTAACATAACAATGGGTATTATGGGGTTTAATGGTCTTAAAACCGAGAAATTTTTTAAATCGTTTATTCCGAACAAAATACAGCAAGTAATA